CATCACAGTTTCACAGCTATTACCAAAATTACTGAGATGGCAAAATCTTCAAATGATCTGTGCATCACTGGTACCTACTAACTACTCATGCTTGCATGCTCCGTGTATATCCATAAGCTATGTAACTGAAGGTAAAGGAAAGAAAACAGGATGTACCTAGATAGCACAAATATCCTGTTAATAAAACAAATATGAATAAAATTGCAGTTACAAAGTGATGACTTGACCAGGACATGTCATCACTAAAGAAAACCCCAACAGGTATCAGGTCACGTCTTCCAGATGCAAAAGTTAAATCTCACTGACCCCCAAGTGGTCAGGCTTCTTCAGCTAACAGGTGTGCACATTTGCCCCTTCTACACTTCTACCCGTTATGAGTCCTCACAGATTTCTGGGGCCATTCCCCACAGTATTTATGTCCTAAAGCTAAGCATACGTTATCTGAATATACTGCTGATGTGAGCGATTATGCCTGCCTCTGTATTTTCTCTTCGTCCTGTTACAACTTGTTATACTGTTATTTTTATTCTATTTTTTGTACTTCTATGAAACTTAAATATATATATATATATATATATATATCTCACTGACAAGCCAGCAAAAGAAGAGAGAGAAGCCAGGATGGTAACTTTGAAGAGGACACTACATAAACACTGGAGAAATGCACTGCAACTCGTCCATAATAATAGCACACCGTGTGGGAACCCAGGGTGCAGCCTAACAGAAAAGTACCTGCACTGACATGTCCCAGGGCCAGGCCCCTTCATAGTGGAACTGTTAAGATTTGTATTACCCATTACATGCTATGACCAAGTCAGAATTTTGCAAGTGCTATTTTTCGTATTTGTTTTATTTAAAAGGCAATTCATCTGCGCCATCCAGTGTGAACTACGGAGATGTCCAGGAAATAAAGTAGATAAAAACACAAGAATGCAATCCATTTTGGAATCCGTAAAATCCAGAAAAATGGATGAGCAGTTAGACTATTGAAAATCTTCAGTGTGATGCATCATTCACTGGACCACTAAAAGGTACTTAAGAGAACTATGGGGTAACTGTTTTTCCCCATAGTTCTCTTAAGGGTCACGGGAGGACATATAATAGGGTCCTCCCGTGACCCAGAGCTCAGTATACCGAGAGCAACAGCTCCAGTATATGGAGAGCGCTGCAGACGGGACTGATACCGACATTACTGTCGAGATCCACCCAGCTGCGTGAGCGACAGCTGGCTCTGCCTATCTAGAGGCAGAGCCAGCTGTGCCCGCCCCCTCCCCCGTTCGTTCAGTCAGCGCTGGAGGCTCGGGGAGGGAGGGAATCTCTGCAGGGAGTCGTGACTGACAGTCACTGCTCTCTGCAGGGAGATGATCGAGAAGTGAGCGAGCGACGGTATGTGTTCGCTCACTTCCCAATCTATTCTTTTTCACTCACCTCATAGTTCTCCTTTAAAGCTACATAGAGATCAGCCCCTGCTGCAGCCACTCGCCTTGTGACTTGTTACAATGTACAGTCTTAGTTATTGTTAGAGTATGGAGACTGAGGAAATGCCTCTTCCTGCCTGCAGCAAGTTGATGCCATGATTCTACAGATTGCACCTCTTAGCCAAGGCAAAGTCACATGACTAAGACCAAGAACCACATTCTTTTTTTTTTATTATAAAATGATACTGTTGCTGTATATATAGTGACATGTTAGGAATTTGCATATGCAAACTCAAAGTTATTGATAGACCCACCTAAGGGTTGCAAAGAACACTAGCTGAAAGATGAAAGGGAGCAGCAGCTGTGCGTCCAAAAGAACAAACCAAACGGAAAACGCAATAACAAACCTGTAAAATATTCATAGCAATCTCTCTGAAAGACTTCAAAAAGGATCTCCAGAAGCTGCCACATCTGTGGGGAGATGGTCTGGTTGGTGAGATTGTAAGCTAGAGACAGAATCTCCTCGTAGAACTCTGCAGGCACAACAAAAATTAATGGCCATAGATAAAAAACTCAACCCACAAAAGGAAATTTGTCATTATTTGTTATAAATGTCACTTCTTACACCGGCTTAAAACCAAACCTATAACAATATTCTGTTTTTAGATTCTCCACGGAACTCCTGATGTATTAAAATAAGGATATGTTATGTGACCACCCGAGGTATAAATATTACTGAGTATCAAATCTTTTAGCAGCTCATACCTATAATGTGTTTCTGGAGAACCAGACCGACAATCTGCAAACAGATCCCCTCCAGCTGCTGCTTCACCTGGAAGAAAGACAGAATTATAGAAGAGAAGTGAAAGCCGAGGGCACCCACAAAGCTGATGCTGGGGTACATACCTCTTTATGATCCTCCACAACAGTCAGCACGATATCGATAGTATGAAGGATCCCCATCGCCATGACAGTTTTGTCCTCCACCTCATCATACTCGTCGCTCTGCAGGACCTTCACAAAGATCTCAGCCTGGAAAGAAAACACAGAGCAGTAACATGACAAGCCTGTATATCTCCTGCATACAAATCAGAGCACCAGACCATCACCAACCTATCTTCTGTACATACAGATCGGAGCACTAGACCATCACCATCCTGTACAACATAAAGCACCAAACCATCACTAACCTGTATATCTCATGTACATACAGATCAGAGCACCAGACAATCATTATCCTGTAAACCTCCTCTACATACATAGAGCACTGGACCTTCACCATTCTGTACATATAGATCAGACCCTAGATTATTAGCATCCTGTATATATCCTTTACACACAGAGGAGGGCACCGGACTATCACCATCCTGTACATATAAATGAAACCATTGAATCATCACGAATCTGTATGCATCTCCTGTACATACAGATGAGAGCACTGGACCATTACCATCCTGTATATCTAGTGCACATACATAGTGCATCAGAGCATCACCATACTGTATATCTAGTGTACATACATAGTGCATCACCATACTGTATATCTCTGTACATACAGATCAGAGCAGTGGACAATCATTCTGCATATCTTCTGTACATACACACATCAGTGCACAGAATTATCATGTGCCATTCATTATATGTCCACACACCACTCACCAGATGCCTCGTCATGTCTACAGCAATGGGGGCCACTTCCTGACTGTACTCGCAGATCATCTTTTGGATTACATTGGTCAGATCATCATTCTCCGTCTCCCGGACTATGTGCAGCAGCTCCTGCATGACTGGTCGGATGTACGGCCTCATGTACTCTTTCGCTAGGGGATATAAATGCTGGAATTATTGTAGAATACAAAGATTGAGCATACCCTACTGACAATTAGGTCTCAAGTTAGCCGACCTCCTAAACCATACACTGAGAACAATTTGTTTTAGGGCCCACCCATGCAAGAAAAAAAAACCAACAGGTTAATTCAATTGTTGCTCTACCGCCAATGTTAATCCCTTAACTGTATTGCCAGACGGATGAAAAAATATCCGAGCCTATAGGTGTGCACAGGTATAAGGGCTCCTTCCCCATCTGAGATGTGCTTGTGTTGTTGGTCACTCCCTGGTGAGCTTTTAGCCATAACGTGATAGCATGCACAGTATATTAGCAAATTATGGCAGACTTGCCAGCCAAACCAATCCCCTCCAGTGCAGCGCCCCTCCTCTCCAGCACTTCCATCTTTGGCTCAAGCCTCTTCAGGGTTCTAATTGCTTGGCCACTTGATTGGTTGGGCCCCAATGACGCAACTCCCGTGCGTATGCACAAGAGTTACTTCATCTCGGCATGCCAGATCTGTGCACTGAGCTGCACATATGCGGCTCAGCGTACGGAAAAAAAAAAATGCTGAAATACGTTTTTAAGGCAGAAGAGACATACACTCTCTTCTGCCATAGAAAGCCTATCAATTTTTGTTGTTGTTGATTAAATTTGACTTCCGCTTTAATAAGCAACAACTTATTATAATATAGTAGTGCAGCATTTTTGGTTGTGTAAGATATACCAAATACATGACAAATTCTCTCACCAGCCCCCTGGTTACTGATCAACATCTGCAGAGCGATGGCAGCCTCCACCTTCACCGGCAGTTCTTTATCTTCCAGCAGACTTTTCTTTGCCAACTCTACAGCATTTCTCAGGTTCAGCTCATTATGAAACTTCAGCGTGCTGAACGAGTGAAGGACCCAACAAGACTAGAAGAGAAACAAGATGGAGTATGAGCAGGAGAAGAATCATGCAACGTACAGTAGATGTAATCCCTATCTAATGGCATTTAGTTCGCTAGAGCACTGTGTAACATAAATAAGCAAGCTTTTATTTTTTACTTTCAATAAGTTTCAGCCTTTGTTCATCTCAGTGCTGCTGATCTCCTGCAGCATCCCTGCAGTCGCTTCCTGTGCACATGCACTCCAGCAATGGCGACATGGCATTTCTCAGGCTGGGTTTCCTGATGGTGACAACAGTGGATCATGCTTGTGTAATGTGTTTTTAAATGGCCACTTGCAGACTCCATTGAAAGACCATGTGACTGTGTAACAATACAGGGACACATCTGGGGGATGAAGAATGAGCTGTCACTCTATGAAAGGAAGTACCTGGAACTGGACCTTCATGGTAGGATCACCAGGAATTCTATTTATAAAAGCTGCAGATTTTAAAAGATTAGAAGCCACTTTTGAAAGACCTACCCGTGCTCGGAGATAGCCCAGCTCTGACATGAACAGCGGAAAAACGTGGTTCTGGATGAAAACTTCCATCTGGTCCTTGTAAACGGATTTCTGAAAGAAGATACAAAGTCACGCACATGACAAAATACGTCACATGTATACTGAACATGCTAGCAAGCCAAAACATAACCTTTAATAAAATCTCTGCAAGTGAGCCCAGAACATGAAGCGCTCCATCTACTTTCCGTGGGTCCACCGAGGAACAGGTGAGGATCTGGTAACAAAAATTCATCATCTTTGGCAATACCTAAAGCAAAGGGGAACAACAGAAATCATCAGCGTCAGTCCACCCATAACTGTTATTTCTGCAATGGTAGATGCAGGAGAGTCAAACCTCCTGACAGAGTCTTCTATCTCTCAGGGATGGGTCTTCACACCTGCTGTGCCCATTATAGGGCATTCCCCCCATCCTAGTGCTGAGTTCCCAGGCCTACACACTTGTGTGCTCAATATAAGGGGTACCCACCATCCATGTGCCGAGTTCTTGGATCTTCACACCTGCTGTGCTCATTATGAGGGGTTCCCACCATTCCTGTGCTGTCCCCAGGTCTACACACCTGAGGTGACCATTATGAGGTGTTTCCACAATCCCTGCATTGAGTTACCAGGTCTGCATACACCTGAGGTGCCCAAAATAAGGAGTTCCCACCATCCCTGCACACCAACTGTGCCCATTATGAGGGGTTCCTCATCATCTGTGCACTTGCTATGGCCATTATGACATCTTTGTGCTGCATTCCCAGGTCTGCACACCTGCTGTGCCAATTTTCCCGGGGCTGCAATCCAGCTGTGCTCATTATTAGGAGTTCCTACCATTCTTACTATATTATATTGAATATTAGGGATGCACAGATACTTGTACTCGCCCAAATGCTCCGATACTTACCCCGATACCGAAACTTCTGGTCAGGGGGAGATTTCCTGTGACTGGCAGTGCTGCGAGGGAACATGGTGCCGGCTTCTCGACCAATCAGGAAGCCTGGCAGAGGGCAATGACTCGCTGCCCGGCTTCCCAATTGGCCGGAAAGCCAGCTCGATGCAGATGGGCTGGGAAGCCAACTTCCCAGCCTATCAGCATCAAGTGGGTCAAACAGCATGGAGCCAGCTTCCTGGCCAATCAGGAAGCAGGTCAGTGGGTAATGACCAGCCGCCCAGCTTCCTGATTGGCCGGGAAGCTGGCTCGATGCTGATTGTCTGGGAAAACAGTGCCCCTGCCAATCAGCATCGAGCTGGCCAAACATCATGGAGCCGGCTTCCTGGGCAGTCAAGAAGCCGGGTGGCTTGTCATTACCCTCCTCCCGGCTTTTTGACTACCCGGGAAGCTTACACCATGCTAGCGGAAGTACCGGTATAGGTACTCCGTACCAGAGAAAACCGAAATACAAATATCAGTACTTGTACTCGATACCGAAAAATCGGCATCGGTGCATCCCTATTGAATATTATGTAGAATGCAACAATACAACAGGAGGAACTGGAACACACAAAAGGTGGGTGAGCATTACGGTGGTGAGATTTCACCAATGGGGTTCATCCCAGAGACAATAAACCAAAGATGGCCTCAGACCCCTGAATTCTACTAGTCATTGAACTATCACTTTCTGGATGCATTGACTCGAATAACGACCTCTTAAAGCCCAACTCCAATTCTTCGAATAGAATGGGGAAGGGGTAGAACCTTAATCAGGTTTTGCCCCTCACTTTAAATCTTAGAGACGAGGAGACAGACAGAAAATCATAGGAAATGAATTAAATGCAAATTCATTGGTTAAAGTTATTGTTATGTAAGCTAATGCTGATAAATTTGGCGTGGGCTTCAATTACCTCACATCAAGAAAAGGTTAAGCACATAGTTTTGCCAATGTTCTAGACTCACCTCTTTCCTCTTCTTGGAGGCAGTAAAGAGCAGGTTCTGAGCAGCAGTGGAAGGAGATACATAATCTTCAAACACATCTAGAAAGAGAAACCCAGCAGGTCATGGACAAGGACAATGATTGAGGAGCAGCACTGTGTGCAAAGTATCCAATATACAGAATAACATGGAGAAGGTCTGACATACAACATACTGATGTACTCAATACAAAACAAGGGGACGGACCTGTGTGAGCAATGCTGGATATGTTACAAAATAGAGACTTTAACAAAGGCATTGGACACACAACAAAACAAAAAGCCATGCATGGGGAATAGTGTACAAAGGAAAGGGGGAAAAAAAAGGGACTGCATATACAATCCTAGAAATCATCTCCCTTGTCAACAAGACATTAACATATAAAAAGAAAAATTAATTACCAAACTTCATGCGAATGTACTCGTATGGGTCATCCTGCCACAAATCTTCATCTTCATCTTTGTAGCACATCAAGGGGAAGATCACTTCTTCAGAAATACTCTAAGAGGCAAGAAAAGGGGAAAGAGAGTCTATGGGGCATGTCTAGAAAGCAGCGAATATGATTTTCACCAAATATTCACTGGTGGTAAAAGAATCATGGTCATTAAAAAAAAATGTGCACCAGGAAGATTCAACCGCAGTGAATGTTGTTAAAAGCTAAACTCCATGATAAGCAAATATTGTCCAAATACAAAAAGCGCGTGTACTCTTCCTTAGAGTTTTTGAGCCTGGAGTTCAGCTTGATTGTCAGATTTACAGCCTTACAAATATGCTCCTTTGTAACCGATTTTTATAATCACTTATTTGCACTAAGTTTAATAGGTGGAGACATTTCACCTATTTACTCCTCTGTGTCCAGCAAGGACAGAGAAATCGTAGAAGCGAAGAGGCCAGTCTCCTAAAATAATGCTGGCTGCTAACTAATGCACAGAAGTCTATTTTAGGGCCCATTCCCACATTCACGCTCAGATGCGTTCACTTAAAGCAAGCACGCTCTGTGTTTATATCTTACATTAACACAACAGAATGCTTAAAAAAAAAAAAAAAAGCACAAGCACTCAGCAACCCAGCACAAGGTATTGTGTTACCGTGCAATGTGCTGTGGAGGTGTGTTGGGTTGCCTTTTAAGATAAACGGCATTGCAGCAACGTGCGTTACCATAACACGAAAGTGTGAATGGGCCCTCAGGGTTCCTTGGCTACTTAAAAGGAACCTGTCACTTTGCCCATTCAGTGGCTAAAGCTGGGCATAGATTTTCGTATGAACATCCATACAAATTATATGATCAGGACATTCGAAAATGCCACCAGAGACTTGACGAATGCTCTGTGAAATTCCGCTTGGTTTTAAAGTGATATTAAAGTCAAAAGGTTGTTTAAGCTATTTCAAATGCTGATGAAATGACTTACAATGGATGCTGCCTCTTGATGTTTAAAAGTTTTAGTGCAGAATTGGCTGGTCCCCTGAGCACTGGCCCCAATATCCTGTTTTAGGGTGGCTCCCTTCTCGTGCAGGGTCCTATGGAGCCATCCTTGTGGAAGCCCAGTAACCTGTGTGTGACTCCACAAACTCAGACACGGCAAGACACTCCACTGCTCTCTGCTCCCCTCTCATTTTCCCCCCCTCTTCCTTCTCCGAGCTAGTAGATGGGCAGCTGCTGGAGCCTGTGCTGTCTCTTGTGATCTTTTACTGGACAGGAAGATCAGGGAAGCTGAGAGAGTTGGAGCCAATTGGAAACATGATGACTAAGTTCTTGGGCAAAAATGTAAAGAAATACTTTGCTGGGCAATATATATTTATTAGATCTGGATTCAATATTGTCACTGCACTCGAAATGGGTTGTCGATTTGACCCCCATTAACAATTACACAATCAAACAAACATTCCAAAAACATCTTTTTAGCGTATGGCCGACTTAAAACTGTCAGAGCTAAGACACGTCCTTGACGCACTCATGTCCCTGTCACCGATCTATAATGCTGGTCTCACCTGCATGTTCGGCTTCAGGACTTTCCAGGTGACGGCGTGAGACACCCCCAGGTTCAGGTAGTTGAGAGTCTGCTGCAAAACCCGTGGGGCCACGTACTGCTTCTGCCTGTGCTGCCCCAAGACTTTTAGCAGAACCTGAGGACATACAACATAACAATAAGCCCAAACAAAATAAAGCCTGATACAACTCCACCCCAGGGTAACAGGTACTCATTGAATGTGTTAAGGAAGGGGAGAAGGGACCTCAAAGTAGGGGCAGGTGTCAGGGCTTCAAATCACAGGTATCAGGGTTCGTTCATACCACAGAGCAAAACAAAATAAAGCCTGATACAACTCCACCCCAGGGTAACAGGTACTCATTGAATGTGTTAAGGAAGGGGAGAAGGGACCTCAAAGTAGGGGCAGGTGTCAGGGCTTCAAATCACAGGTATCAGGGTTCGTTCATACCACAGAGCGCGCTTTATGGTACACACACGTGCTGCCATTTGTTGCAATGCATTGTTGAAAAAAACTTTTTGTTGCTTTTCCTTCAAAAAAAAAGTTTCCACATAGTTCTATGGCTGCATAGGATTTGACCAGTCTTTTTTTTTTCATAGCCACGGGACATAAGGCAAATAGCTTTGTTCTCGTGTTGGAATTGCCTTGGGCATTGCTGCTTGTGGCAGGCCACACACACCTCACCACCTGGCTCTTAGCAACTCAGGACGCTCTGGCCGGCATCCTGCTCGCATCTCCCCACAAACCGCTGATCACTGAACTCACGGCTTCCCCCTGCAGAGTGGAGACTGTCATTCACCACTCCCTGCAGGGATTACCCCCTCCCCTCTCTCTGTTCCTCCAGCGCTCATTGGAGGAACAGACTGGGGAGGGGGTGGGCACAGCTGGCTTTGGCTCTAGAGAGGCAAAGCCAGCTGTCAAGCAGGCAGAGAGGAGGATCCCGACAATACTGTTGGGATCTTTCCCGCCTGCAGCGTGGCTCTGTGCTGTCAGCATATAATGGGCAATAACCCGCTACACCCAGACTATGGGCCCCAGAAGAAAATGTTCTCCTGTCACCCGAAAGAGAACTAAACCCAAAAAATCTAGTCTTGGTAATCCACAATAAACATTTGTATCTAGAGGAAAACCATAGGTGGCAGAATACACCTCACCTGTAAAACTCCCATAGCATACGTCTTCACAAAGAATTCAGAGAACTCTATATATTCCTTGGTGACACTTCCGGGACTTCCATACCTATAGAGTACACAACCAACATCAGTGATAAAGAAAGACATCTTATTGTCACTTTCATAGACAACACACAAAAGAAAAAAAAACTTGAAGCGAACCTCATTACTAAAATATTTCTTCATGTGAAGTCCATTTATGCTAAGTATAGTGTCAGTGTAACACTCACAGATCTTTATTACTTCTCCGAGAGATCACAGTACTCCCCCTGACAATGCCATAATCTACTTTTTGCTCCAGAAGGAAGAAGCCTTTTTTGGCGTCATCAAGAGTCACCATCTACTTGCCAGCTCAAAGATCATGAAAATCCCGTGCAGTTCTTGGCTGTGTTCACAAATGTCCGACACAGATCAGCTGCAGCCTCCCACCTTGTCACTTGCTACAAAGTTACAATGTTGTAGTCTGATCACTGTGGAAGAGAAGATGGAGGAAATGCTTCCTCCTGCCGGTAGCAGACTGATCACTGGGGGAGGGGAGACTGAGGAGGAAATGCTTCCTCCTGCCGGTAGCAGGCTGATCACTGGGGGAGAGGAGACTGAGGAGGAAATGTTTCCTCCTGCCGGCAGCAGACTGATCACTGGGGGAGAGGAGACTGAGGAGGAAATGCTTCCTCCTGCCCGCAGCAGACTGATCACTGGGGGAGAGGAGACTGAGGAGGAAATGCTTCCTCCTGCCGGTAGCAGACTGATCACTGGGGGAGAGGAGACTGAGGAGGAAATGCTTCCTCCTGCCGGTAGCAGACTGATCACTGGGGGAGAGGAGACTGAGGAAATGCTTCCTCCTGCCTGCAGCAGACTGATCACTGGGTGAGAGGAGACTGAGGAAATGCTTTCTCCTGCCTGTACCAGACTGATGACACCATATCACACTAGGCAAAGTGCTGATCTGACATTGCATGTTCCCGTTAATACACAAATCAATGTGAGCTTCTGATCTGCACATAAAAGAACTAGTCCGATCACAGTTGAACAATGACGGTGTAATGCACGGATTGTAGGCCTTGCTTACAAGGCAGCTTATGTCTGCAGCCTCCTCATCCTGATGCAGGATGACTTGCAGCCAGGAAATGAGGTTGGCTCTATCTGACTTGCTGCAGCTTCTAATGCACATTATGAGAAGCTCGCAGTGTACAATGAAATCAGAGGAAATCATTTCAGCACAGGAGAGGAGCCGCTACAACTGTGCAAGACTGAAAGGAAGGCCGGAGTTCAGCTTCAAGCAGTAGCAGCTTTAAAAGTTAATATGTGCTGACTTTACCGTTCAAAAAGTCGGGTGATTATGTGAAGGGCCCATTTCTTGCACTTCCACCAGACCAGCTCTGGACGGTCATCTTCATCCACCTGCAGTGTTTCCTAATAGGAGCACAACATCAGCACAGGAGCATATTTAACAATAACCAATCCAAAATCTTTACCTTGGCCAGGAAGTGTCGGGACAGGAAGTGATGGGAAATTTCTCCGACAGGGACATAGACAAAAACTAAAACACATTCTAGTAGCGTGGGGAAGGGTTACAACTTCTGACATCTTGGTAGAGGCAGGTCTTTGCTTATGTCAGAGCCTCCATCGAGAAGAATAGTGCGTAGCACAAGAATGACATCACCAAATCTCTCCGAGACTAGCAGTGGGAGGCGGCAGTGTCTTAGACCTCACACTGTAGATATACAGTTATAAAGCTCTGCTTAGGAAGGAAGTAGTAGGAAGTACACTGCTATTTCTCAGGAGGAATTCAAGACAAAAAATGTAGATTTTTTCAGGGTACTGCTTAGGCACTATTAACATTTCTACATTTTACCTATAACATAGTAAATGGTGACTGCTTGAATTGAGGCCCACTTTAAGTTCATTTAGCTTATATTCTGCCTTCTCTGGTTCATCCTGCACACAATAGGTTTGACTTGATGGACATGGGTATTTATTCAGCCTTAAATACTATGTAATTATGTAACTATGCAACTATCCTTTAACTCCTCATCAACATATTTTGTTTTTCATTACATGCCTAATTTAAGACCCAGAGATATCATCCCCGGTCTCTGTGCTGCTCTAAGCAGTGCAGCCAGATGATGGCTGGTGGAAGGAGTCATCAGGATGATGTACATAGCTTTCTGAAAATCAGTACAGCACCCTACCTCAAGGGCTGGTTATCCTCCAGCCAGGAAATGAGGCGGCTCTATCTGACTTGCTGCAGCTTCTAATGCACATTATGAGAAGCTAGCAGTGTACAGTGAAATCAGAGGAAGTCATTTCAGTCCAGGAGAGGAGCCGCTACAACTGTGTAAGACTGAAGGGAAGGCCGGAGATCAGCTTTAGGTCTCGTTCACACCTAGGTGTATTGCATATGCGCGGTAAAAAAGTTGCGCGACCGTCGCGCGTTTCCGAAGGCTACTTGGCTGTATCCCAATGGAAACGCGCAAAAAACCGGCCCAAAGTAGTACATGTACCTTTTCAGGCGTGGGCCGTTTTGTAGCGCGTTAGGGATGGGCGGAAATACGCCACGGTGGGAACGAAACCCATTGAATACAATGGGATTTATATTTTTGAGCGTTTTGTAGAGCGTTCGTCGAGCGTAGAACGCGCTACAAAGCGTTCAGGTGTGAACGAGGGCTTAGGCTTTCCAAGTAAATGTATTTGTTTCCATTTTCATACTCACAGGAGGAACATCCCGATCTGCAATACTGCTAAATATTCCTATCCACTGCGTCATGGTCTGGTTGTTCACCAGCTGGAGCGGCAGAGTGTACTGCGGAGAGAAGGAGACAAAGACAAATAAAGATGTTTCTGTAAAATGTCACATTTCAGAATAACAGAGAGAACACTTGTAGGTGAGCTTCACAGCCAATGCTGCCTGCCAAGGACACTGGTGTGCTTCTCAACCCATGCTGCCTGCCAAGGACACTGCTGTGCTTCTCAACCCATGCTGCCCGCCAAGGACACTGGTGTGCTTCCCAACTCATGCTGCCCGCCAAGGACACCGATGTGCTTCACAATTCATGCTGCCTGCCAAGAACACTGCTGTACTTCCCACATGCTGCCTGCCAAGGACACTGGTGTGCTTTCCACATGCTGCCTGCCAAGGACACTGGCGTGCTCCCCACATGCTGCCGCCCAAATACCATGCTGCGCTCCCCACATGCTGCCTGCCAAGGATACTGCTGTGCTTTCCACATGCTGCCTGCCAAGGACACTGATGTGCTTCACAATCCATGCTGCCTGCCAAGGACACTGGTGTGCTTCCCACATGCTGCCTGCCAAGGACACTGGTGTGCTTCCCACATGCTGCCTGCCAAGGACACTGGTGTGCTTCCCACATGCTGCCTGCCAAGGACACTGCTGTGCCCCCACACTGGTGACAGCACATGTTCAAGGACTAAGAATGATGGAAGGATTAAAAACTCAGTTTTTAGAGTTAATAGTTTTCTTTGCTTCTTGCTCTATGAAGGAGCAGCGTTGTCATCCAACGGCAGGACTACAGAACAACCCCTATTATCATTCCTATAACATAGGGGGGTGTTTTTTTTTTTTTAAAACAAACTTTATTCTGTTTTCTCGACCATACCCCAAGGGGCTTGGCCTTTTTTTCCACAGCATAAAATTTACACAGTATGAGGCTACTTACAGTAACCTAGGGGGGTGTTTTGTAGTCACATAAGATAGCTGTGAAGGCCGATAACATTGTTTCAGAGTTTAGTTCAGTGCACAGGAAGTTACAAGGACACTGGAGCAGATCGTACGTTTTTTTCATCCCTTTACAACCATCGCAAGACTAAAGTCTTGCGATGGTTGTAGAGTGTATGGCCACCTAAAGGATCAACAGAATTTTTCTGTACTTGTAGAAAAAAAAAAACTAATGCAGCCGCCACGTCTAAGGAGCGTTAAGCTGCAATATAGGATTTTTTTCTCGGAGTTTACTCAAACTGTAAGCAAATCAAAGTAAAATGAGGCAGTACTCCCCAAAATGCACATA